GGGGGGGGGGGGGGGGGGGGTTGTATTTTTTTTTCCCTTTGGAGAAAGAGATGAAGGAATGAGAAAGTAAAGTAGGGGGTCGTGAGAAGGAGTGGGGGGAAGGGGGGAAGGGGGGGTTGTATGATTGATTGGTTGGTTGGTTTTGGTTTGTTGGGTACGGGGTTTCTTTTTATGTCCTCTTTACTTGTACAGTACGATACTTGGATGTGGATGTAGATGTAGATGTAGATGTTGAGGGTGTTGGTTAGTATCTCGTCTCGTCTTTTCTCAGGCAGCGTTATAGCGGGGATAATGATCTTATTATTAATATATCGTACTCGAGGACCGGGTAGGGGAGTACCTTACTTAAGTTACTCTTACTTTTACTCAACCAATCGATTGGTTCTTTTGTGAGCTGAAAGGACGTAATCTCGTCGTAATAGTAAACCCGTTTAGTTGTTTTTGATAGTTTAGTAGTTTAGTTGAAAGACGTAGAATAGATAGGGTAGGTAGGTAGGGGAGATTCGTAAATGTATAGTAATCTTATAATATTATTCTAGGTAACTGTTAGTATAGAGATATCTGTCGATATCCCAAAGTGATATCAACAGCGTACTGTTGTGAACAAGCAAAGTGGTTATGTATGTGATTCGATTGTTAAGGAGCTACCTTAAGTGAGTGTGAGAGTTCGAGTATGAAGTACTTGAACGAATGGAAGTGGGTCTAAATAACGTGATCTAAAGGAGTGGGATATATCGCAACAGTAATATTAAAGAAAGACTTCATGTTTAGTTGCCCGATAGATATCTTCGATACTTTATATATAGTTCCTTAACTTTACCTACCAACCTACCAACCTACCAACCTACCTACATATCCTCCCCATCAGCTCCATCAGTACTCTACCCTTCTACTCCCCCATTCCCATTCCATCGCCCACCTCACAAACTCCACCACTTGCACCTACACCTACACATCCAGTCTTACAAGTTTACAAGTCCTACCATGCCCATGAAAACTCACATTCTAGAGGTACTATACCGTAAATACTTCAAAGGAATGATTTTGCTCTTGCTCTTATCCTTCAGGTTTCGTCGTTTCGTAGTTTCTTCACTCTCGCTGTGTATAAGTATTCGATCCTCATATTGAGTATGACTGAGGGGCATCAGGTCAGGGAATAAGGTAGGTGCGGTGATGACGGTGCTGAACAGTGTTTCAGATACCCAGAGGACTGGTGAGAGAGAGAGTGGAATTGACCCCAGTCTACCGGGTTCTCCTCTGAGTTAATCAAACAAGTACTCCATACATAAGAGCTCCGTAAGAGGTGATTACTAGTAGGCTGAGCATAACGTCCAGGTATTTCGAGGCCTTTGCTCGCGGTTTTGGAAACCCGATACGAATGCGTAAGTTATTATGAGTCCTGTGAGATGTTAGTAAGGATGATATAGTACATCTTCAATCACATCACATGTCACATCTCATATCATTTTGGAAAGAAAAGGTTCAGTTTTTTTGTTAGTTTTGGTGGTCATAGCTGCGTAGATTATCCCATTACAAGAATACCATGTCCACAGTAGGAATTCCCAGAGCTAAATCGCATGCAAGTCAATTCTTTTTTCCCCGCACGCCAAGCCAACTGATCCTCCCTCAACAATTCAAAGAACTCCGCTTGCAAAAGAACCAATCTATTCCTCAGCCACGGCGCCCTCCTCACCACCTTGCTCGGCACTACGTTGTGCCTCAGCAGCTGCCTGTGCAGCGGCGGCCTTTGCACCGTAATCCTGGCTCATTGGTTGAACAACACTTTGCTCCTCCTTTGGCTCAATAACCGTAACACTGTCTGGCAGAGTCTTGGTTGGTCCGTTCTTGCCCTCTGGGTCTGATCCTCTCATGATCTTGACCTTGATACCGAGGACACCCTGTCTAAGGAGAACGTGACGGGTTGCTGAATCGATGAAATCCTTTGCTGGCTGACCAGAGTGAATCATGAAGCCATCAGTGAACTTCATGGACTTGGCACGAGCAGCACGTAATTTTCCGGAAACGACCACCTCACATCCCTTAGCACCAGACTCCATGATGAATCGGAGAACACCATAGCATGCTCTTCGGACGGCAAGACCGTTGAGGAGCTTGTATCGGAGAGACTCGCATTGTGCGACGGCGGAGAGACCACGGTTTTGGACCTTTGCGGCGTATAGGGAGACGGAGTTTTCTGGGAATTTGAATCGCTTTTGGATGAGGGAGGTCAACTCGCGGATGCGTCGTCCCTGCTCGCCCAAAACCTCTTGTGTGTGTGTGGCTCGGATGATGATGTCGGTGACCTTTCTGCGAGTTAGTATGATATTTCAAGTCGCAGAGTGGATTTCGGGAATCGTACAGTTGGTGTGACTCTGACTTCAACTCCTGAGTATCCCTCCTCAGCCAACTCACGCTGGAAGAACTCGTTCAACTCAGCATAGAAGACACCTGGACGATATTAGATTTCGGTCGGATTGATAGCGGAATCAGAAAAACTTGCCATCGGCAACGAACTTGCGGCGCTTTGAGCTATTTCCAATCAGTCAGAGTGGCTCAAGAGGGCGAAATTGAGGATGTGGTATATTCGCCTTCGCCGCGATAAAGTTGGTGGGGTTGAGATGGCAGTGATGCGCCTGGGATTTTGAAAATTGTGATGAGAACTTACATAGCGGTACCTGGGACTCCGGAGGCCATGATGACTGTTGTGATGTAGGATCGAACTCTGGTGAAAAGAGTTCAATTAATTGTTGTCGACGAAGTTCAGAAAGGCTTGGATCTATCGCGAGTGTTTTTGGAATTCCCCCAAATGTGCCGCCTGGTGCCCGGGCTCGCTAATGATAAGCAGGCGTCCACGTGACTATAAGACTATAATCCCTGCAAATTTAGCCGCAACGCATATGTCATCGGTAGGCCTACATTAGGTCGTGATTCTGTAATAATTCTCGAAAGTGTGGGAGCCAGAAACCAGATTTAATTGGGTTACATTTCAGTTGGAGCTCATTATGGTTGCCGAGTTGCTAGAACTTCTGATATAATATTTGAAAAGTTTTCCAGTCATAAAGCAATTCACAACTCCTCAGGTGAGAAGTTCCGAGGTGGTTGTTCCACTGTGCTGGGCAAATTCAGATAGCTGACCTAAGTAGATGATTAGAACAGGTACCTAATCGTCTGAAACATTCCATCGATTGTTCAAATTCATGAACTCTTTTGAATTGATTTCGAGTGCCTAAGCCAAAATTTAGAACAAGTGAGGCTTTTTGCAACAACTTTTCTTGCACAATGGGAGACCGTAGAGTGTTTCTCGACTTTCTTATTGGACACAGAACCTTAACATTGAGTCCAGAGATTTTGAAATGTAGTAAGTTTCTCCAATTTCTGTATTGCCTGATTTTCAGTATTAATTTGTTGGAACCTCGTCCTATTTTAGTCTCTCACAGAATCATCGGCTCTTCTCTGCGGTACTTAATACACTCCCCATTTCCCCATCCCCAAAAAAGTGAAGGATCTTCTATAAACTACGTTCAACTCTCCCCGGCTGGCGTTTCTTGTTATGAGATAGATACGCCCGATTCCAATCCAAGCTAAGACATGTAAAGGTCTCTTTTAATAGCTTTTGTAATTCTTACTAGCAAACTCGGCAGATAGGCGAGATTTATAGAGAAAGCTATTCACAAGCTTACTATTAGAAATATTCCATCGAAATTTGTTCTTGCTGAAAGTTAAATCTCCAATTTTTGAAATGTTTCCAAGCACCAGAATGAAATGTGTTGTTCAAGCTATGCTGGACACCGCTGTCTTGCCCCACATGCCACCAGAAATGCTTGTTCCTAACATCATACAAGCAAAAGGCCGAAGGATTTCTAGTATTGTACTGTGCTAAGCTGAAGTTATATCATGAGGCTCTTTAGCCTCTCTGTTTGTCACCAGAAATGTAGATATAACAGTAATCCTTCGTCGATTGGTTTACTGAGTACATATCAATCATTTCATCCCCACATTTTGTGATGATAGAAGCTCGGATCACCCAGTGAGGGGCACATGGTCTACTAGCGAGGGCCGACCGGGGAAAAGTGAATTGCGACCCGAGAGGATCTGAACGGACTCGACCACAACTTCACTGCCCAACTGAAAACAAACACGCAAATAAGGAGCGAAAGTACGGATTGTTAGTCATTTATTAATTCCCAGATCCCCATCTTTCTGCTCTCCTTCATGTCATGAGCATACAAATCTATCTCCTGGATTTGAGCGTGCCCCCTCCGCAGGCCAAGTCAACATGTCGTCGGACAATCTTAAGATAGCCAAAACTGGTTCTTCCGAGTATCCAGACTTCAGAGGACTAAAGCAGTTGATCCAGGTGGATGGTGTCAAGTTTTTGGCAACGGGAGACACACGAGTTGCTACGCTACACCTTACGGCTCATCATCTTGTCCTCGTAGAAGACCCCGCCCATCTACGTCCCGCAACTCCTCCCAAACGACCAACAAGACCAATAGAGATATGGATGCCCTGTGCTTCGATAGCATCATGTACCTTTCGGCCAACTCCGCCAGCTTCCGGTCATCAATCGTCAATCAAATTACGCACGCGCGACTTCAAATTCCTGACCTTGAACTTTCCCGAAGACCGGCTGGCTAGGGAGGCTTATGAGAGTCTGCGCAACTGTACATGCAAATTAGGGAGCATCGATAAGCTCTATGCTTTTATATACAAGTCGCCACCCCAGGAGAAGGAAATAAATGGGTGGCAGCTATACGATCCCAAGGCCGAGTTTAGGAGACAGGGTATCAGTGAGAAGGGAGCCGATAAAGGTTGGAGGATATCGAAACTCAACTCTGACTACAACTTTTCACCAACTTACCCAGCCGTTCTCGCGGTTCCCACTACCATTTCGGATAATGTATTGAATTATGCTGCCAAATACCGCTCGAGGGAACGGATCCCAGCCCTGACATATTTACACCCGGTAAACAACTGTGCAATCACAAGAAGCTCACAGCCAAGAGCGGGCCGTGTAGGGAAGAATCGGAGTATACAAGATGAAAAGCTTGTAAGCGCGTGCTTCTCTGCAACTGCTTCTACTTCTCTTCTTGAAAAAGATGCAACTCTTTCTGCACCAATTTCCAGAGCAAGTCCGGCCTCAAGTCAAGTTGAACTTGATCTTCCGATCCAAAGTGGCGAGATTCCCGAGACGGCACTGCTAGAAGATGAAATAATATCTGCTGCATCAAATATCGAAGTAGAGAAGCCACATGTCTATGGCGCTCAACAAAATAATATGATTGTCGACGCTCGACCTCGGATCAACGCAACGGCCATGCAGGTTGCTCAGGGACTTGGTTCAGAAAATATGGAATATTATAACTTTGCAACCAAAGTTTTTCTAGGAATTGCCAATATCCATGTCATGCGGAAGTCCTTGAATGATGTCGTTGAAGCGATCAAGGACTCCGACATATCCAAATTACCGCCTAATCGAGATTTACTAGCAAGCAGTGGTTGGCTAAAGCACATTAATGGACTCCTCGATGGCTCGGCCCTGATTGCGCGTCAAGTCGGAATTCTTCATTCCAGTGTCTTGATCCATTGCTCTGATGGATGGGATCGCACAAGTCAACTTAGCGCATTGGCCCAGCTCATGCTAGACCCTTATTATAGAACAATCGAAGGATTCATCGTTCTAGTTGAGAAGGATTTTCTATCATTTGGACATATGTTCCAGCTTCGATCGGGATTTTTGAACAGTGAAAAGTGGTTCAAGTCACAAAACGATGCTCTTGCTGGTTCGGCAATGCCACCAGTTGGTAGCGGAAATGGAGGCGGCGATGCTTTGGAAAAGGGGCTTTTAGCTGCTTCTTTCGCAACGAAGCGATTTTTTAACAACATCTCAAATCCGAATCCAAGTTCAGATGCTGTCGATTCTGAACCCGAAGACCTTGTACTAGCTGACACATTGTCCTCTTCAAAGATTGATGGAACTTCCAAGAAGGAAGCCACAGACTCGAGCAACATCAGTCCAGTTTTTCATCAATTCCTGGACGCCACATATCAGCTTCTCCTCCAGCACCCAACACGATTTGAATTTAACGAAAGATTTCTTCGACGCCTTCTCTACCACCTTTACTCCTGTCAATACGGCACCTTCCTTTACAATAACGAGAAATCCCGTCTTGATGCCAGAGTTCAAGAACGTACCAACAGTGTATGGGGATACTTCCTCGCCCAAAAACCGGGATTTACGAATGATAGATACGACGGTGGTGAAATCGATGATCGTGTCAAAGGCAAAGAACGTCTCATTTTCCCATACCCCGACAAAGTTCGTTGGTGGCACGGGGTTCTCAATCGTACAGACGAAGAAATGAACGGGCTACCAGTCAGTAACGCAGCCGCAGAGAAATATCTCGGTGGTGAAATTCGTCCTGGGAGAGTTGCACGAAGCCCCAGTCCTGGGCAGCCTGGTGTGGGCGTACTCACAGGTGTGGAAACTGCGCATGCTGCTCTGACTGTGAATCGAAGTCCCAGTCCGAAGAGAACTCCACAAGTTTCTCCAGTCCATCCTAACGGTGCTGGTGATGCAGGGTCCTCAACGCCAACGCCAATAGGACTGGCGAACAGTTTCGCAACCTTAAGAAACGGAATTGCGGGGCTAGGGATTGGGAGTGCGATGAGTGGTGCTAGTGGGAATGGATCTTCTGGTAGTAATGGGAGTCCTGCGAATGGAGCGGGTAAGCATCAGCCGATGGAGGTTGAGATGCAGTAAAGGGGTTTTCTTTAGACTTGATGATGTTCGTTTTGCTTGGGCATGGCTGGGCTATTTGGATAGAGGAAAGGAGAAGAAGCGACGGATGATCTGGGATGGGATGGCGTTAAGGGTTTCCCCTCCATTTTCCTCTTTTTGAGGGCTACTTTATTTGGTGATAGGAAGAGAGGATTTGATGAAGTGCTTTCCGGTAGCTACAGCATTGCAGGCGCCTGGCGTTTGGATCCGGTGGTGGGTGATGATTGTTATGAGGTATCATCGAGTAGGCAGCGGTACGTAGACGGACTAGGGCAATTTTCAATACTGTATCCTATTCTTCTTTTCTGTAAGACTTTACAGGACTTTATTCGGCTACCGTTAACTCTCTCAAGCTCAACACCATTCATTCATTGATTGGATAGTTATGATTACCCAGCAAATAAGTGGACGATAGCCATGTTTATTGAATTGGACTCAATTTGCCTACCATACCTACCTACCTTACTCACTATGCATGTCTAGGTAGGTGGCATTTCCTCTCTCCCCCCCCTCTCTCAAGTAAACCCCAATGGAGGATCCTCTCATAGCCTTCGCTCTTGTCGTTGCAGGTTGTTTTGGCTGGTTTAAATCTCTTTACTTTGGTGTACTTATGTAGGTCAAGCCCAGCTCGTTCTTTCCTCCAATATTCCAACCTCTTCCCTTGGGGTTTGAATACCTAATGTGCCCGTGGCCTGACTGTATCGTCTCAAGAACTCTTCTTCCTCTTCTTTTTTTCTGGAGAGAAAAAGTTGGGAAATCGACTTGTTTTTCTTCAAAGTTTCTTTGGAAGATGGTCATGGTGATACTGACTGGTTTCGTGTGTTTTCTTGTAAAACTTACAGGTCTACAAGCGAATGGTTTTATGGGTTAGGTATTTTGGTGAGGGTTGGTGTTGGATATTTGATGTAAACGACCTATTGATCTAGTACTACTACCTAATATAAGAGTTTGTTTATACTTAGGTTCACGTATGTATAAGGATGTATTATTTGGGCCAAATAGCCCTCAAAGCACTTGTAAGGTTATTCGTACCTTAGGTATTAAGTAGAAGCCCAGGCTGCTACCAAAGTGTAACGAATACTCAAACTGGCTAACTAGACTTGGCTGGGTGTTCGCTGGTTGGTATGCTATGATAAGAAGAAGACTATCGGGTTGTTCACTTGGAAGTGAACTCGTTACTTGTATCAAAGATGTCAAACTAATATGATAAGATTGATAACTAAGTTGAGCACGAAGCTCCTATCTAATGGCAGACATGCCAGTCTTATATAGAACCTTCGTTCTCCAAATCCTGAATGTCGACAGCGCGCTCGTCGTGCTGTCGCGCGCAACAACTCGCTTGTCGCGCTTTCGTCACGTGACTATGAATGCTATGAAATCCTTGGACACTCAACAACCCTGAGTAACCACTGCTATGGTATAACTACTCTGGATGTATCTGTCTTGTCAGAACGCCGCCTGGACTAACTCGTCACATGCTAGCACGTGATTCGTGACACAAAGCGCTGAATTACTTGTAAGGTCTATCTATCTACTTAGATTTAGTAGTTCAATCAGGGATAGTAGAGGATTCCAAAGAGGAATGTCTTTATATATATACGTATAATACTCCTACTAATTATAGATTATTAATATAGAATTCATAAGTAATCATGGGATAAACAATATATGAGGACTCGGATACGAGCTTGCTGAGTTACCTCTCGACACGCGGAACATATGCTACTCGTCTAATTGACTTGGTTAAGTACTTTCTCTTTACACCTTTTTGATGATTTTGATTTTTTTGTGGTGTTTTTTAAATTCACTATTTGCTGCCCTTTTAAGCAGAGTATTTGTATATTTTAGAGGTAGGTGCTGAGGGAGGAAATGATTCGCTCCTTCCTTTCTACTTTCGGTTTGATGAGATGGGCCTGGACCTGAACCTGGGGATTATTGTGGCGTTGCGTTTCGTTGGTACCTGGCAGTAGAGCAGAGCGGACTGGATTACTACTAAACTACTATTGTATGTAACGTAGCTTGGTCTTTTTTACTTGATGTGATAAGCCCAATGTTATTTTGAATTTTTCTTTCTTTCTTTCTTTTCCTCGTCTATTTTCTCTTCTCTTCTTTTTACTTTGCATGAGAAATGATCTTTCGTTTTTTTTGTAGGGTATGGTGTGTTCTGGATTCGGGGTACGTCATTTTTTAGTTGCGGCTGGAGTTGTGCCTGTCATGAAGCTCAGCCCAGGCCAGGGCTATCGAATGCTGTGCGTCGACATTAGCTTGAGTGGAGTTCGGACGACTTCTGTGGTTCCAGATGAGATGGTCAATAGTTGGGTATGTACCAGTAGGCGTGACTGAACTGAGTGGCTCTATTTCTAGATGTCGAGTGAATATAGGAAGTTGCATGTGGTAGATAGTTTGCAGGTGGTAGATTCCAAGCATAGAAGTGATTCACTACGTAGGTAACGTCATCTGATTTGACAATGTGTTATATTAATAGGAAAGACTTCACCTGCAGATCACTTACATGCTAGCCAGGTAATGAGAATTCTTTGGCCATGGTTGGGCAAGAATGGCACCAAGTACTGAACCTGGTGAGACAACGCGGGGGACGATCCTTCGTCTGTCCCGGTACGAGTCCTGTGAATCTCGATATCTGGATCTTGGGATCTCAGCCTCAGCACATTGTGCTCCCGGCAATCTGGGGGTGCAGAGCCGTCATGCACCGCGGGAGCTGGTGGTGTGCAGATGCGTCTTATATCTGCTGGGAGTGGTGGGAGTGAATGGTGGCTGGCTCAATACTGTAGCGAGCGGTTGCAGTTGCTTCCTTCGCTCTGCTGTATGATATTCTCTGTATGCTCTTCTCAAAGTACCTCACCTCGATACCTACGCCTACGCTACGTACTGGACGTACTCAGCTTAGATCTTTATACTAGTTAGACGAGGAAATAATCTCCATAAGGTTTTAATAAACAAAGTTAAGACTATTCATCCAATCAAGGCCGTCCAAGCTCGACCCCCCGGCTTCCCGAGGCGGCTGAGGTCGGAGTTCATCTTCCCCCTCGAGCCCCCTTCCCTCAGCGAAGAACTCGCTTCCAACTTTCTCAACTACCGCCGCCTCTCCCCAGGCCCTTTCCGGATCACCCTCCACCAACCGCTGGAGAATTCACGCCCACGCCCACAAAAATCATCGCAACACCCGACGGCACCCCAGGTTCAGGGCATCACGCCAGGCTGAATGCTCCAAAGTCCTTCTCGCCCTCCCCGTCGCTATCCCAAAGAAGCACTACTAGCACGACGGTCGCTGAATTAGGTGCCATGGTCGACGCTTCAGGCCAAGATTAGATTACATACAGCGATTGTCCACGGTACGAGGTCCCAGAAGACGCAGCGTCCCGTACGACGTACGACGACGGAACGCCGCCAGAACGCTCGCTATCCGCCATTGCCCATTGCCCATTGCCCTCCCTCACCCTCGCATATCCTGTCCTTCGGTGGCCATGGATCACGACTTGTCACTGTCACAATCCCATGGCGGACTGCGTATTGCCAATCCCGACGATGCATCGCCAGGTGAATCCCAAGAAGTGCCTGTAGATGCACGAATTGTCGCTGTCGCTGCCGCTGCTGCTGCTGCTGCTGCTGCTGCACCCACCAACTATCCCGATCCCAACACCATCACAGCCAACTATCCACACTCGGTCAGTTCTCTCGGGGACGTCCAGGACCCCATAGAAGTGCCGCCATCTCCCAGCCCATCGCCGCCGCCGCCCAGCTCCAAGGAAAGCCGAGCCTTCTCAGATCCCCAATCCCAATCGCAATCCCAATCCCAATCTCGCCGACATTCAATATTTAATATTCTCCGCCGGGTAGATTCACCAACCGATTTAGCTGCGTCCGCTTCTGCTCCCTCTCCCCGAACCCCATCACAGCCTTCCGACCCCAAATTCGACGCCGTCACTCCCCAGTCCTATCGAGCTCCCAACGATCCCTTAGCGCGATCCGCCGCGGCCAAGGCATATCGTCAGTCCATGCCGCTGAACCACCAAGCTCAACAACAGTCACAATACCCTCCCTACCAAGTGATGCAGAACGGCAACAGAGGATACCCTCCACCAGGGGCCAATCGACCAGTCTCGGGTGTCTACGCTTCACAACCTCCTCCAAATGCAATTCCTTCGAGAGAGCATGGCTCCTACCGACTACGGAACGAACCCACCCCACCCCATATGCAAGGAATACCGACAAGAAGTGGCTCGAGAAGTGCGGTAGCAGTGCAGGCAATGCAATCTGGCGTGCCGTCGAGAGAAGGGAGTCACAGAGATAGATCGTATGGACAGAATCACCAAATGCCGGGGGGAAATGGCCCCATGCCACCGAGGGGAAGCTCGAGGGGTATGGTAGGAGGATACTCGGACGCCCCCATGGCTGGTACTACTAATGGAATGACAATGCCAATGTACAATACGGATGGGCCATCTCTTCCGACTTCCAGCGAGGAGTGGAAGGAGAGAGGTGCCGCAGTGGGCACTCGACAAGAATACGATGCCGACGGGAAGCTGGTTTTAAAGACGGTAAAAAAGGGCGTCAAGGATTTCACTTTTGGGCGCACATTGGGCGAAGGTTCATATAGTACGGTACTCCTGGCAACGGATAAACAGACCTTGAAGGAATACGCAGTCAAGGTCCTAGACAAGAAGCACATCATCAAAGAGAAAAAGATAAAATACGTCAACATCGAGAAGGAAGCTCTCAACCGGTTAATAGAGCACCCAGGGATAGTTCGACTTTACTACACATTCCAAGATAATTCGTCACTTTACTACGTTCTGGACATTGCCAATGGGGGGGAGTTGTTGGGGGTATTGAAAAAGGTCGGCTCGTTTGATGAGGAGTGTACTCGGTTTTTTGGAGCCCAGATTCTCGACGCAATAGAGCATATGCATAATAGAGGAGTGATACATCGGGATCTCAAGCCAGAGAATGTGCTGATGGACGACCAAATGCACATCAAAATTACAGATTTTGGAACCGCCAAATTACTTCCCGATCCAAGGAAAGCGTCAGAATTGGGCATCTACGATATGCAAGACCCGGAATCGACAAGAGCCAAGTCATTTGTAGGAACGGCCGAATATGTCAGTCCCGAACTTCTGACGGATAAGAGCGCGTGCAAAGCAAGTGATCTTTGGGCATTTGGGTGTATCATTTACCAGTTGTTATCGGGTCGACCTCCTTTCAAGGCTGGCAACGAGTATCAGACTTTTCAGAAAATCGTCGGCCTTGAGTACGAATTTCCACCTGGATTTCCACCCGCCGCGAGAGATTTGGTAGAGAGACTTTTAGTCCTGGACCCACAGAGACGATTGTCAATCGAACATATCAAAAATCACGAATTTTTTGATGGCATCGCTTGGGGACGAGGGCTTTGGAAGCAAAAGGCACCAAGATTAAGGCCGTATGTCCCGCCCACACAAGAACCGACTCTCATCAAGCTCAATAACAACTATGCTACCGCCCCGCAAGCTATTCCAGCATCTCGTGCCCCGCAAACAAATTCCTCTAATGGGAACGCTCGGCCACCACCCAGAATAATAACAGAGCTTCCTCCACCAACTCAGCTAGATATTGAGTGGTCTCCTGTACTCACGCGTAATAACGAACGAATACTGAAATTGGGAAACCTGAATGTATTGTCCGCGCCATTACCACACAGTCCAAATTCAAGACTTGGCGACCATGGAGATGGTCATGAGAAAAAAGGCCTCTCGAGATTTTTCGGTGGAAGTAACATCAAAAAGCGGCAAAGGCTTGTGATGATCACTTCTAGCGGCCGACTTCTCATGCTTGCTGCTGGAGGCGAGGAGAAGAAGACCAAGGCCGATATATCGCTTCTCGCATCAGAATGTTCTTGGCGGACGCAGATAGACCCCAAGGGGCAAACGGTGTGGTGTATTGATACAGTAAGTCCTTTTGCATCATACTAAAACTTTTTCGGCTACTAACCTTGAATAGCGAGGTACCCACTACACGTTTGAAGATACCAAGACTTCTGTAGCCTCAGGTGATCCATCAAAGAGCTCTGCCCAGGAATGGATCGAGTCGCTTGAACGTGCAAAAGACATGGCTCTGTCACAAAATATGACCGGCTCATACACCACGGATACAGGATTCAATATGTCTTCTTCCGTATCTAGTCCAAGCAGCACACTTCATGGAAGTAGTGTTTACCCGGAAGGGTTCGGCGTAACGGACCGATCCGGTCGGAATCATCTTAGCAAGAGCCAAGCGAGTCTTGGTGGTTATGGAGATGACCCATATGAAAAAGCTACCCAGAAAAGACATCGCTTTAGCAAGAGACAGTCAAAGAACGGCTTGTCTACACCATTGCCATTTTAAACGGCCATCAGGGTTGGTTATTTCGTACTCGAACTCGAATCGAAGGAGGGGTGTTTTTTTTCTGTTGTCTTGGGAAATGTTGAAGAAAAGTTTTGGGTGTTGAACTCTGAAAGAAAGGCTGAGAAGGCACATAATCTCCATTTCTCTTCTTCTTCTGTTTATTTTTGTTTGGGGGGTGTGTTGCATTTTGATAGCGTTGGCGTCAAACAGGGAAATTCTTTTTTTTGTTGTTTTCAATTCAAATGTGCTTTGCCTGTCTTGTTTCCCCTTTTTCTTCTTCTTCCACCCACCCACCAATACCTTTCTTGCATCTTCTCCAGGCGCCACCTTTTTCTAACGACTTATGTTGCGTGCTGTGCTGTTCTCTCTTTCTCCAGTGAGGGAAACATAAAAAAATCATTCCTTTTCTTCTTCTTCATAACTATAGGAAAGCGGGAGGGAAGGGGTGAGCAAGTGATGGGGATGGAATTGGGGACAGATACGTAGGGGTGAAGTACGGTAAACAAACACACACAGCCACACAAACTATTTCTTTGCGTTACACTTTTTCTTCATGGATGGAATATTTTGTGGGCCTTGTTTTTTTTCTTCGTCTATTTTGGAAGGGAAGGCAAGCTTGGGAAGGGAAGAAAGAGAAGAGAGAAAGGTCCCCATCCCAAACCATTCCATCCCCTATTTCTTATATATACCGTATTTGAAGAAGAGAAATCCAGCCTTAGGGGTTTCTTTTTCTTAGGAATAGAGAGGTCGTTGAGTTCGATTAGGTTGGGTTTGGTTTGTGGGAAATTCTTTGGTTTCGTTCTTTTGAATTCTTTTTGATGGAGGAGGAGGAGGGGGTTGTGGATTGTGGATGTGGGTTTTTTTATAATAAGAGAAGATAGGGTATAGGATATAGGATATAGGATAGCATAAGATAAGATATAAGATATAAGATATAAATGGCAAGATATCTATGGATAAGATTCAGAGAGAAAGAATGAATGAATGGGGGGGGGAGTTTTGTGTGATGTGAGGGGTGTTGTGTGTGGTGTGAGGTAAGGTGAGTTGTGTGTGGTGTGAGGTAAGATGAGTTGTGTGTGGTGTGTTTTATGTGAGACCTGGAATTGGTTATAGAATTTGTTTGAGGTAGTTCAGGTAGGTGAGGTAGGTTAAGAGAGGTGAGTTGAGTTGCTTCAAGTTATTAGTACTTACCTTTCCTCCCCTCAACCCGTCCCTAATTCGTCCTTAATTTAATAAGGAAATTCCTTTTTGAGGGGTTTCCTGGGGGAAAGGAGGGGTGAGTTAAGTCTTGACTATAAGGTAAGATAAGGTGTAGAGGGATGGAGGGATGGGCTCCAGACTTATAATTGGATCTGGATTTGGATTTGGATTTGTTAAGGGGATGTGATGTGATGTGAGAGGAGACGATGGTAGGGTAGGTAGGTAGGTAGTATTTTCTGTGTTTCTTTTTCTTTTGTTTTTTTGATTAGTGAAAGGGGGAGAGGAGGGGGATGTGGATGTAAGTGGTGTTTGGTATCTTTAGGATGTAGGGGAAAGGGGGGATGATGCTTTAGGGGAGTAGGTCTGTAGGTAGGAAGGTAAGAATTGTACTTACTAAACCTGTTTTTTAGATGCTATTATACTAGGGTTGTTTTGTTAGGGTTTTTGGGTTGGTTGGTAAGCGAACGGATGTGCACTTTTACAAAAGAATAAGTGGTTCTTGTTGGGTTTGTAAGTGTGTGGGTATGTGGATGGTTCTTGTTATGAAGAAATAAGTGCTTCTTGTTATTGCTTCTTGTTACTCGTACAAGGGAAATTCGGGAAATGAGTGGAGGAATGAGAGAAAGGGGAAGTTTTTGATTTTGAGCTGTTCTTGAGATTTAGAGAGAGTGAATGGTGTATGGGGTGTATAGGGGTTTCTGGGGAGAGAGGGGGTTTGGAGATGGAGATGGGGTTTTTTCTTAATAGGGATGGGTGTTTGGTTGGGAAGTTGTGAGGCTGTGGAATTAGTAGAGTGTGTGAGGGGACTTGGTGAAGGTTTGCGATGTAGGATGATAGGATGCTAGGTAAGGGAGTTGAAATTGTAGTGAAGTAGAGTGCTGCGTGGTTTTTCGTGAGGTTTCAGGTGGATTGGCTGGAAGTTACTAGTAGGGAATTTTGGGAGTGTGTTACTTGTTACCTTACATATCTTTCTCTCTGGAGAAATGGTCGGAAATTTGAGGAAGTCTGAAGTAGTGAGATGGTAATCAAATTGGGGTTTCTCTGTTTATGGTGTTTGCTACATATGATACTGAATAAGTATTAGGCATGTCAGTGAGTTGGGGGTTTTCTTGGGTCACCTTGTTGGTTGGTTCTTTTGCCAGTTTTATTAGAGATTGATGTATTATTGGATAATTAGTGATGTGAAAGAGGAAAGTTTCCTCGGTACGGTACGGTACTGAGGTATAGAGGAATTTGAGCAAGATATCAAAGGGGAGGCATACATGAGGACTAAGCGAACTCCGCATTGAGCGCCTATTGTGCTGCGCCTTGTGTTGATAGTCTTTGGAGAGCAGTCAATCCAGATTCCGGGCTTTTTTTGTTAAGGAACGTCTAGACAAATTGAGATGTGTGGTTTTTGGTTGTCATTTTTGGTGGGTGGATGTAATCTATATATGAGAACGAAGATCTGAAGATCGTTTCCGGTGGCGATTGAGATGGTTTAGTAAGCCGTTTTGGGGATTTGCGCGCTGCGATGTCGTGGGTTTGTTTGAATTTGGTATTTAAGGAAAGTTGATGTTTGTATTCGAGTCTTGGAGCGTCATGTGCTTGCAAAGAGAGATTATGTCTCGCTTAATATACTGTGGTACGATAGAGGGCAAGGGTAAGTATACAGCGCGGAGATTGCTTGGTTAGTATAAATAAATTGTGGCTTTTTGAATTTTACGGGTATAATGTTTAGTTCTTCTTGTGTCTCTGGTTATATTTAGTAGGGATGTGTAAGTTGGAGGCGGGATATATGCAGTAAGAATTTGTGTACTGTGTGTTGGTAAATAAGCGAGTTTGAATTTTAAAATTGGGTCTGTTATCTTAAATCTTGGGCTAGATTTGGAGTAGTTAGCGACTTATTATAGCTTAAAATGCTTGTCTAAAACTTCATATTACTTCAATTAATTTTATTTTATTTAACGTCCGGCGAATATAACTAACCGACTCGTAACCAGGTTCTAGGAATCCCATAATAGGGCAAAGGACGCTAGGGGGGTACCCTAGACGGTAGGGGGTGTAGAAAAAAGACTACTCTATAGGTGATGAGGAAAGGAGCAAGCCCGCTTCTGGACAAGCCTTAGTAAATAGCTAGGAAAGAATAATAGAGAGACTATATAAGGGGTAGTGTAGGATCTAACCGTAGGCCAGCCGCAGAGGGCAGATCTCCGAGTATAAGTTAGATTTATAGAAGAGCTCCCTAAAGAGCTTCTCCAAGTAGGGTCCAAAGAGAAGGCAGGGGTCCTGCTTCTCTCTTGCTATAAATTTAAGGGGGGTTTCGCTTAACTATTCGGTAGAAAAGGGGATAGAATTACGTCTTCTCTTTACTATAGGAGCATTCTCCGGCTTCTTACAGGGTGTCGAGATGTTGGAATCGGGCGTAGTAGACTACAAAGTCTCCGTGCCCTGTTCTAGCCGCTATTAAGTGTCCAAGGACTTCCGGGGAGTTTAAGGAATCGGAGTTTCGGGTTTATATTACTCATGAAAACGTTCAAGGTTTAGTATAGTACCTTTTAATAGAATGTTTTATCTCGCGTAGGCATAGAAGACTTCAAATTTGTGAAAGAATGTGGTGGTTTTCTTATAAAAGAGTGTGGTGTGATCTTGTAATGAAATCTCCTGTTTCCTCACTTATCTGTAATGAGCTCCCAAAAATTTATAAATGAGTGTGGTGTGATCGTGTAATGAAATATCCTAATAACTTGCTTATCCGAAAAGAGGTTTAGAAACTTGTGAAAGACTGTGGTGATTTGATGTTGTAATAGAATATCCCAGTTCCTCGGTTGCAGTATCTGTAATGAGCTTCCAAAAACTTTGTAAAAGAGTGTGGTGATTCAACGCCATACTAAAATGTCCTAAAACTCCAAGTTAAAACCAATTCGCACATTCTCAATATCAAAAGTATTAGTCGGTTCCATGCCCCTTCCTCTTGAAGAAAGATTGAAGAAGACATACTTAAGCTTCGGGACCCTTTGCTCTTTTTGCATCTGGTTAGATCTAGGAGCGCCTGGAACCTTTATGCGCGGCAACCAGTTCCTTACGCGGCCCACCAGGGTACTTCTCTTTAATCTGCGACAAGGTGAGCGCTTGAGCTCCAGTACCACTGTCATCTGCGGAATCATATCCATCCGTTTGCGAAGTTTCTTGTTCGCTGGGTCTATCTTCAGAGGTAGGCTCGCGAGCCTCGGAAAAGCCGGTCGTACCTGGGAAAGTGAGTCCCCATGGTGGCTCAACAGGTTTTCGTGTGGAAGGATCCACGGGGGGCAGGCCTCCCACCTTCATCATCTCCCCTTCAGGATCTTCCAAGAAATCTCGAAATATACCAAACAACCAGAAGGAGTCTTGTTGTTTATTCCAAGTTATGTTTTTTTTGCATATCCTTGAAGTGTCGAAGGGCCAATGTGCCATCTTTTGCAAACCCTGCCCTCAGATCTTCGGCCGTCATCAACCTTCCATCCCGTTGCCCCTTTGGACGGAGTTCATATTTTGTCGAGCGCACATCATGTTCACCGTAAAGGCACTTCTTGTCCTGGTCCTCATAAAGACTATCCAGTAGGATTTTAACTTCAGCGGCATTTGAATGTCCTACCATATAGGCCACCGCCAAGGCATACAGTCGGTCGTTAAATCTCCAGTCAGAGTTCCCAATTTTATCGTTGGCAAGTAGTTCTTCTAAGCGCTGGGAAGACATGATATGGGTTTTGGACTCGAGAGATTTGTTGCTAAGAGTAATAAAGTGCGTTCTGGTGGGTTTCGACTGGTTCGGAAGTGAGCAAAAATATTGAGGGTAGGCTCGATGATAGTATATTTGCTTCAGACACTGTGCTCTATGAGATTGAAGGGGGAGAAGGAGAGACTCATTACTGTTATTTATGCTTTTCTCAAGGGAGAAGCACCAAAATTATTTGAATAAAGAAGTTGAACGTGGCCCAATTACGGCCCGTTCTACTCCCATTTTTACGGCCAGAAAGTTGAAGATGGTTGCCAGTGGTATGGAACAGGACGGCATTCTATCAAAGAGTGCGAAAATTCGAGAGCTAATTGGTAAAGTTGGGCAGGCTGCAAAGTTCAGTCCAAGAGAATGAAAAGATCGCATTGCAATTCGTGATGGTAAAAGAATGATGCACGTATCATCTGAGACGATATCCTCAAAGAACTGCGAGAGGTCGGAAAACCATTGGTATAGATCAACCCTTGTTTGTACTGGACCAGTTTCCTGAGGAGCCGGTAAATCGACGCCCGGGTGTTTAGTATTTCGACGCTCCCCCCCTCCCCCCCCCNTGTCTTAATAGACTTATACTATTAGATTCTACCATTTTAATCTATCTATAGTACTTTATGGATGCTATAAGCCTAGGGAGCTAGTAAATCGACGCCCGGGTGTTTAGTATTTCGACGCCCCGCCTCGCCTAATTTATAAGAAATTCACTACCCTTTAGTTAGTAGTAAATACAGTTCCTATTTGGGCCAGTAGATTTTCTTTAAGCTAGTAGTAGGGTAATAAAAGTTTTTTTACTAGCGTATATACTTTAAACTTGACTTTAAAGCTGTTCCTCCTCGTACTTCTCGCTTACTTTGTAACACCTGAGGACACCGGTAGGCAGAACGTCCTAATTAGGCTTGGTCTAGCACTCCCACCAATCAAGCCAGTACAATGTTACTGCCCAAACCTATTGGGACGTTTTGCCTACCAGTTTCCTCGGGTGTTACGAAGTAAGGGATAGCGTCTTCGTGAAATATAGTAGAACTACTAGAGTCCTCAAGCGCTTAATTAGGTAAGATCAAAGCTCGGAATGAGTAATTACAAGCTCAACTCTATACCTACTATATACTCTCTCGGAAGTATAAAAGCTAAATATAAAGCTATTTATAATAACGGCTTCAATCCCCTTATTACTACGGAAGCTATAGCTATAATTCGGTCGCTAACCCCTCTACCTATGCCTTAACTAATTCCTCCTCTAATTAGTCTCCCTAGCCCTTTGAATACGGCTCCATAAACGTTTAATACCGCCTATTAGTAATGAATAAATATTATCCCTTACTCCGTAACACCTCGCTACCGGTAGGTAGAACGTCCTAATTAGGTTTGGTTAGCAGCATTCTAGCTACTTGCTACCGACTCGATTCGACTTAATTAGCGAGAGTACTAAGGCCAAACTTAATTGGGACGTTCTGCCTACCGGTAGCGAGGTGTTACGGAGTAAGGGATAATATAGCTACGGACGGGCTTTCTATAAGACTTAATTACTTACCCAAAAATACACTTATTAACTTAATTTAATTTAATTTTCTTTTAAAAAAATACTCCTTAAAGAATATTAAATAGATATCTTAATAAATAATAGGGGGTCGCCGTACTTTTAAATACGTAGTGTTAAGATAAAGGTAGAGTTGTTACGAATAACGCACCTAAATCTCAGACTACTAATTAGGCGAGGTGGGGGGGGGGGGGGGGG